TGATGAGTTTGAACTGCCAACTTGCAATTAGCAGTCCAATGCTTAGTCTACAGCATCACACCAGGATTCCTGCAGTCTGATTCATTGTTTGGAAAGCAGTAAGAAGGAGGGAGGCATCATCAGAAAAAATGCTGTAGACAGAAAGAAGAGAATGTGCAGGAAACCTTTCACTGTCCTTAGAGTAAAGAGAGAAAGCCAGTAGGGTGGAGTATGGTGGGTGAGGAGGAGATGAGAGGGAAAGTCAAGGCTTGAACCACATCATGCAGGTGAGGAAAAGCATTTGGCTTTTATCCTAAGGTCAGTGGAAACTTACCAAAGAGTTTCAAACAGAGAAACAACATAATCAGATTTACACTTTATTTTTACATGCAATTGAGATATATTTGTAAATACATGGAGAGGCAGCTCATAAATATCACATAGATATTAAGAAGTTAGTACAGCCTGTAATCACCACGTGACAATACAACCATAAACAGGAGTGTTGTAAGTTGGGACCAGTGGATTAGGAAGCCTGAATCAGGAGTCGGGCCAGGCATACATAGTTCACCTTTTTGTTTGTTTTTAAGAACTAGCTGTTCATCTGATTTGACGCCAAGATAGTATTTGGGTAAGCTGAGAAGAAATCCCCATTTAAAATTCTCCCTCTTCTTCAAAAGCTTCAAAGACAATTTCTCCTCAAATTCCCACCAAAACTAACCTCATATGTGGGTGGTGTTGGGACCACCTACAGAGTGTAATTTGAGAGCTGTTTAAAGGCCCCTCCTTCTGTTTCACATAAATTTTCCTGGTCCTGTCACTACCACCTAGAATTCTACCATCAGCATCTTTATTTGGTTGAGTTTTTAATATGTTTGGACATGATAGCAGGCTGGGCTTGTTCCACCTTCCTAGGACCAATTTGGTTTGCTTGTTTTCTTCTCAAAGTTAAGAAGGTTGACATTTTCTGAGCCATTTGGCAGAGACCTGGAGAGATCATGAAACAGTAGACTACAGAAAGTCAAAGAACCCAAGCACATTTGATTAATCATTTTGATTTGAATTATCATTGCATTAGCTGGTGTGTATGATAGAGATATATGAAGAGGCTTCAAAAAAATTTATGACAAAATCTCATTTGAATTTCATTCTATTTTTTCATGAACTTTTTGAAGCTTCCTCATATGTACAAATGTGTGAGGATTTATACAATAAAGATGCATGGGTGAATTTATGGAAGTAAATAACTTTATAACAAGGCAAGCCATAGTAACAAAAAGTAGTACCTGGGATTGGACCAACCTGAGTTCAGCTCACAAGCTTTGGGACCCTGGGAAAGTTACAAACCAACCTTATCCAATATTAGGAGGATTCAATAAGATCATCTATTACAAGTCTTAACATGGGGTCTGTGGCATAGAGGAAGTGTTCCATCACCATTAGAGTTATTAAGATTTTATGAGTGATTATGCTTAAGTGTGTGTGTGTGTGTGTGTATGTGTGTGCAGATGTGGGTAGGTAGGAGAGAAAGTGTGTATGTGAGGCTGACAGAAGGCAGGTAGGAAAACATGGCCATCTCAGCAGGGAGTTCCAGCAGGGTAGTAGTCCTTTCCAGAGGGTGAAGAGATGCAGAACAGCCCACACAGGAGACTAGTTCAGCTTTGCTAAGTGGGAAGCAGAGAAGGAGACAGCAAAGAGCTTCAAACTACAAGGGACATCCTGATGGGCACTGAATCAAGGGTAGAAATTAATTGAAGGGAACAGGCAGACAGTATGGGATGTGATTTTGTTGAAGCTCAAACAAAAATCCTTTTTATAAAAGACAGATTTTTTTTTTAAGTGAGTTGAAAGTGGTCTCTGAAATTGAAATGTGTCAAAATTAGGCCTCAGTGCTTGGAAAACTTCAACTTGCTCCACCCTAAAGCTGTGTTCTCACTTGTTTTGAGCTTCATGGATGTTGGATATTTTTCAGAACAGGCATGGATAAACTATGAGAACCATGCAAACAACAGCAACCCATTTTCAAGTCTCTTGGTCCTCTCAATATTTTCCCACTGTATTTATGGGCTTTCTACATAACAAAGAATGATCATCCTTATATTGAGAGAGAAGAAAATAGAGTAAAGAGAACACCCATATCCTCGTCCCAGTTCTGCCCCTAGCTCACAGGGCAACTTCAAGGGATCTATTGATATCTCTGGGTACAGTTTCCTCATCTGGAAAAGAAGTTGATTGGTTAAATGTGGTCATTATCTTTTGACTTCCTACTGTCCTTAAATGAGGTCTTGCATCCTTGAACTCCCCTTAAAGCTCTATCACTAAATAGTATCAATAAATACTGAAGAACACCAACCACCTGCCTCTGATTAGGTGTGACTTCTGGGATAGTTAATGTCTCTGTATCTCAGTTCCCTTGCCAGTAAAATGAAGAAGAATGCAATGTGTTGTAGAATGTTTGATAGGACTAAATGGGTTAACATAGGTAAAACACTCAGAACTGTGCTTGGCTCAGATAGGGGTAAGAACAACTGAGTATTCAGGGTCTTCATTTCATCATTGTCCTCATCACTAACTTACTCTACTTGGATACCTTTGTAACTTGTTTGAAACATTCTGTTGATAAATCAAGAAATAAAAGTTTAAGTATGATTAGTGTTCACATGCTCATCAGTCAGCCTCCATGTGAAAGGATAGAATTGCCCATTGAGTTTTCTTGGCTGTAATTTTTAACAGGGAGCACATTGCCAGCTCTTTTTCCAGCAGATGCGTTGGGTGCATTTGTTCTTTGAACCACCAGGGCTCCTTAACTATTATTTATTGTTGTTATTAAGTGCAGTTGAGTTAGTTCCAACTCATAGCGACCCTACCTATGGTTTCCAAGGAGCAGCTGGTGAGTTTGAACCACCGACCTTGCAGTCCAGCGCCTTATCCTGCAGCACCACAGTAGTAGATTGAGGACAAAGTGGAGAGCTGAGACCATCGCCTTTCCTTAAAAGCTCTCTGTACTATTGGATTTTTCAAGGATATGTATGTACTACTGTAATATTTTGTCTTAAATTTAAAGAGATTGAGCAAAATGTTAGTTAATAAAGCTCCTCTCACTCTGAATTCGGGAAATGACTGATTTTCAAGGTGGCCCACGTACTCCATTAATATTTGTTCCCGTTTCAAGAAATCCTTATGAAGGTATAAAATAAACACAATTATGTTGGCATGTTTATAACTTAAACGTGTTTTAATGTCTTGCATAGGAGGGGTGAGGGGAATGGGTAAAGTTGAAAATATAAACTTTGTAAATACTTGGCCTTAGGGGCTGGCTTATATCTTGCCTCTTGTAATCTCTTCCCAGAAATCAAGTCAGTTACATAAAGGAAGAATCTGCGGCTTGGAGTAAACGCCTCCTCCTCAAGGAAGGAAAAAAAAAAAAAAGTTGTTCTGGCCGGCGGCGGCAGCCAGGGCGGTGAAAGCGTTAACAGGGCTGGGTAAGGCGATCCCTTGAAATGAGTAAGTCTCAGAGTTGTTAAAAGTTTTCTAAGCAGCGGCCGCGGTGGCGGCGGCGGCAGCAGCAGCGGAGGTTCAGGGAGCTGGGAGCGAGTTGGAGGGAGCTGGGGCGACCAGAGCAGCGGGCTGAACTGAACTCAGCAGAGGTCACAGCGAAAGGTTAGTGGCACCCTCACACTTTCACAGTTCAAGGCGGGCTGACGTCTTTAAAGAGGAGTCTTAGGCAGGCGAGGCGCCATCGCTTATCCTCGTGTGTAATGTCTGCTTACTTACTGGAGGGGCCTGGGGACCTCAACAGTTCTCCAAACCGTCTGGGCTGCAGCTTGCACCCAAGTCTTGACACTTGTGTAGACACGGCTGGCTTCTTCTCAGGAGACCTTTGTAAAGTGGAGGCTTCTTTTCAGACATCCAGCGGGAAACTTTGTGAATTAGGGATTGTACACACACATACACACACCTGTATAGTCTGTTCCATCCTGATTTTTACAAGTTGTGACTACAGTCCAGAATTCCAATCTGCTTCCGTTGAAACCAAGAGCAATTGTCAAAGTAACTAAACAGGCTATACGACTTTACGTTGTGGGAGGAATATTGTCTCTGAGTCTAAGATAATGAGGGTGAGTAGAAAAGAGAGAAAAAAAGGAAGGAGGAAAAAGAGAGAGAAAGCAAGAGGAGCAAGGAAAGAAGAAAAGTATTTCCAGCTAGTGATAGGACAAATCATTTTTTTTGCAAATGAGTTTCTAGTAGAAATTTTTCTTGTATGTTAATAAACAAAAATAGTGAGGGTGGGGGGAGATGTAAAAGAAATGGCTCTACATTTACATGTTATTCTGATAAACCTATATATATATATATATATATATAAACTAATCTGCAGTATAAATAGAGCTCTGGTAGCATCGTGGATTATGAGCTGGACTGCTAACTGCAAAATCAGTAGTTCAAATCTACCAGTGGCTTCACAGGAGGAAGAGGAGGCTTTTTGCTTCTTTAAAGAGCTACAGCCTCAGAAACCCTATACAAGGTCACTATGAGTCGACACTGACTCCATGACACTTAACAACAGTAGCCATCTGCAATATGATGCAGATAATAGATAAACCCAGAGAAAGAAATAGGGAGGTATCTTCATAGAAATTACATTCTGCATAAGAGGTTTTGGTTTGAGAGTTGAGACCAACTGTCAGAATACTTTGGAGCCCCTTCCAGCTCAACATGGCAGAGAAGAGTGGGTGTGCCACTTCAGTGGGCCATTTTTGCCTCTGCTTTTGCCTTCAGCACAGAGAAACAATGAGGAGTTGCTGTGTTGAATGTTCCCTCTGATCCCTGCAGCAGGCAGGAGTGAGTCCTGTACCTGCTAACACTGAATCAGAATGAGTCATTGGAAACTTGGGTGCTGAAACAAAGTACTTGCAAACTGCCTTATGAGACACTGCCTCCATGTAGGTGGGATATACATCATACATCGCTAAGCAGTCACATTGTTTGCTTCCCTTTCTTTCTCCTTCGAACAGGCAAGGATTCTGGCACACTCAAGAGACCAGCTCTGCCCCCTTGGATCAGCTCACACTACCATGTGGACTCTGCCTCTCCAGGTCAGGACAGGGGTTTTTAAATAAAATGGATGATTTGACGTTACTTGATCTTCTGGAGTGCCCCGTGTGTTTTGAAAAGCTTGATGTCACAGCCAAAGTCCTCCCCTGCCAGCACACCTTCTGCAAACCATGTCTACAGAGGATTTTCAAGGCCCGAAAAGAGCTGAGATGCCCGGAATGCAGGACCCTGGTCTTCTGCAGCATTGAGGCACTGCCGGCCAACCTGCTGCTTGTGCGTCTTTTGGATGGTGTGCGTGCTGGGCAGAGCTCAGGGAAAGTGGGCTCCTTCCGCAGGCCAGGTGTGCTGACCTCTCAAGACAGCAGGAAAAGCAGGACCAACCCTAGAGGTCTGCAGTCCAGCCCTTTTCGACTGGTACCCAACATCAGGATCCACATGGATGGGGTAAGACAGATCATGTTTGTTAATGTTGTGGACGTTGGATTTGTACATGCTGGGAACTAAAAGTATCTTGAGTTTTTTAGTTACTAAGTGCAACAGCTGATTCCAAATGATAAATTTCTGTTTGCAGTCATCATCTTTTTGTAACATAGGTAGACTCCTAAATCTATCTAATCACTCTAAGAATTCTCCTTGGAATTGGATATATCTTAAAGCTTCCTAGGCTCTCCCCGCTTCTTATTCAGAAAGCAGAGGGACAAAGAAAGACATATTGCTTGTAGCTTTTGTCTATCACTTTTGTTGTTTTTAGGTTCGACCAGTGCATGGGGAATGAACAGGTGGGAAAAAGAGAGAACACAAATCCAATTGCTGTTAAAATCTCTGAGAAGTTCCAAAGTTCAAAATTTGTTTAAATTTTAGCCAAATCCATTTTCCTATCCCCTGTCATAAAGCACTTTTATGACAGTGCTCATTCATAATCTGAAACCATCAAGATAGTTGACACCTGAAGATGATGCGAGGGGAAGCGTCTGTGTGGGTGGACTGATTGATAGCCAAGACTGGGCCGTGCAGTACAACAGATGTTAATAGGAGCCTGCAGATGCATCTTTCTTTACATAATGAATAGACCACATATAAAATGCACATCAGAGGCTGCATTAAACAAGTGGAAATGGTCATGCCACACACAAGATGACCCTGCAAGGCTCTTGGTGTTTGAATAATGGGGATCCATCCCTCCAGCCCTTGTTGTGAATGCTTTGGGAAGGGTCCATCTGGAGAGAAGGACATTGTCCTAGTGAGTCCAACAGGACTATTTGTACCATCACCCTTGGAGTCATAGTGCCAACGTGGATGTTGGAAGGTATAGTGTGGGCTGTTGACATGTTTAGAAAATCAAAGCTACATTCTGTGACATCTTTTCAGTGAGAATACTTGAATACCGGGGGCAGGGTCCCAGGACACCCTACCATCACATCTAATAGTGTGTGTGTATGTGTGTGTGTTTGTGTGTGTTGGGGGTGGAAGTCAGTGAGTCATCATCATCTATGGATCCCTTCCCCATTCAGGAGAATAGGTTTATGATGCACATTCAGAACAGTGTTTTGAAATGTTTCTTCCAGAAACGTTCCCTCCTTCAGTTCACTATACTGAAGTGCCACCCATGTGGTGGGGCAGTGTGTAAACACTCAGACACCAGAGCAGGATGAACGGGATGTTGGTGTGATCCTCTTCACTGCAGATTCTTGATGGCTGTTGTGCCTGTGTGTGCGAATACATTCCAGGAAAGGGCTTGGTGCTCTTTTTTATCTCCCCATTATCCCTAATCCAGTCATCAGTCAGAACCCACAGACCTGGGAAAAAAGGGCAAACTTCTCAAACATGCCTTGTTTATAGAGACACTGGCCCCATCTCGGGTCACCAAATCCCCCTTTGAATACTTAAGACCCAGGAATATCTTCCCCTCACCCCCACCCCGCCACCACCACCGCCACCCACCCCTCCACTGCAGAAGCCTGGCTTGCTGCCTTCCAGAGAGAACTTCATTACTCATGAATGAATTGTTGCCAGGCTGGCAGGAGGCACATCTTTTATCACCTTCTGACATTTTTGTTCAGTTTTTCTTCTTTTTTGATGTAGCTCTGTTGCTAAGAACAGGTAGTACTGAGTGAATTCAAAGCTACCAAGTCTTTAAACCAGACAGGATTCCTAGGGCCCTTTTGGCACAGGGAGTTGTGGGGGTGAGAGCTGGGCATACGTAAGAGACAGTCATTAAGATACTGTGTGTCCCTGGATCTCTTCCTTGGGACTTGTAACATCAGACCAAGGTGCCCGTGATGGGACTGTGCCCATCCTCCAAGCTACACCAGAATAAGGTCCTCTCATGAGGCTGAAACACAGAACCAAGCTGTTGATGGCTTCTTCTTTCAGACAGGGTCTAGGATCCCACCAGTGGCAGCCTGCCCTCACTGCCCTTTGCTGCCTTCAGTTCCTTGTTGTTGTTGTTGTTAAGTACCATCAAGTTGATTGCGACCCATAGAGACCCTGTATTGAGTTTCCAAGGAGCAGCTGGTGAGCTTGAACCACCGACCTTGCAGTTCAAATGACATTACAGTCTGACATATTAGCCCACAGTGCCACACCAGGACTGCTATCCTTTTTAGTTGTTTTTTTTTGTTTTGTTTTTTTCTTTACAAAGAATCTGTACTTCTAAGTGATTACCAGTACATAAATAACAAGTAACAGACTCTTATTTTCTAATATCTAGTAATTTCTATTAAAAGAAACTAACAGTAGTCCAAACTAGACCAGTACAGGTGTCCCCCACTCTTCAAAAGTTCGCTTTATGCCACTTTGCATTTATGAATACCTGTATTAGTGCTTGGAGTCCTGGTGTGGTGCTGTAGGATAAGCACTGGACTGTAAGGTTTGTTTGAACCTCAAGGTTGGCAGTTCAAACTTACCAGCCGCTCCTTAAACCCTATACAGGGTTGCTATGAGTCAGAACCGACTCCACAGCACTCAACAACAGCATTAGTGCCTATTTTTACTTAAAAGAAAGAAATCCAAAAAAGATTTTTGCTTTTATTTTAAAAAAAGTAAGTAGAGAAAGCAAAATTAGCAGTGTTTTGCAACCAGCCCTTAAAGAAGCAGTGTGTACCCCAAGCAGCAAAGTGACATCCCCAAGCTCCTGCCCTGAGAACCACACTCAGCATCTCAGCATCAATCCAGCACAGATGTGAACTGTATCTGTGAGCATGTGATTTTACGTTTTCTGTGTTATTTGATATGATTTGGTAGGTAATTTCTGGGGAATCCCGGAAGGTTCAAAAAGTTTTCTCATATAAATGAATGATAATTGCCTCTTCATTTTATGCCATCTCAGTTTACAAAGGGTACACAGGAATACTTTACAGTCCAACAACTGAGTAAATCTGTATTTATTGTTCTAATCCTTAGTGAGAAAGAATTCTCTTTAAGTTACAAAATAGCTACTTACCCCTTTTTCATTGATTTAGCCCCTGGCCTTCAATAAAGCTTTAGGGAAATGAGATACTTAACCTATTTCTTTCTCAAAGAATATTTTTTATTAGATATCTAATAAAGAAAAGTCATTGCTATGTATGTTGCTTCAGCTAAAAAGCATAGGAAAAGTATATACCCATTATGTGTGTAAGAAATACAAGGTAGAAAGGTAAAAAATCTTTGGATAAGCTCTAAGTCTATACAAAGTACTAGATTTGCTCCTCTTCAAAAAGTGAAGGAACCTATGATCTAATATACAAGAAAATGCAATGCCTTTTCACAAAAATAAAAAACTCTAGCTTTGTTCTTATTCCATATGAGAGCATCTAAAATGCCAATCCATGGAACAGGTGTGTCCTTCTCCCCTCCCCATTTATGTGTTAGTTTTCATGGATAGTTCTGGCTGGGTGTCACAGAAAAAGGTCAAGAATTTATCCAGAATGTCATCCCTGTTCTGCCAGAAGTAGGTTTAGAGCACAGTCCTCTTCTCCTGGGTCCCTTCTCCACTTCAGAGCTGCAGCTGCCATGGGATCCCAGAGCCGCAGATTCCTTGGCACTGAACTCCTTCTCCCTTTGCAGGAGGTACTGTTCAAGTCCAGCCTGAGCTACTTCTTTGACCTGCTTCAGCCTCAGGTTCTTTCTCTGGCAGGCATCAGACACCTTCTCCGCAGCACGCTTCTCCACTTACAGCAGCTGCTGAATGCTTTGTGACTGACGGGCCATGGCGGTGGCCATCCATCCTTTCTTGAAGTGGCTCATCTCCTCCCTCTCCTACATTTTATTTTGCCTCTCTGTGCAAGGATACGAAGAAATCTGTTCCTGAATGTCAATATGATTGTCATTTGGCAACCTGTCTCCCCATCATCAGACCATCCTCCCTATAAGTGTCAAAGCAACCATGTATCACTGGGTTAAGGGAACTGAGGATTATCTGGGATGCCCCCTACTATCCTGAGAGTGAGAAGCTTGCACTTGAATCTCAGCAAACTCATACCAAATACACTCACCCTCCCTGCCTCATTGTATCCAGTTTAGTCAACTGAGCTAATACTACTTGTTATCCACTTTCGTGCCGGATGTTGTGAAAGTTATCTTTGTAACATGCTTCTATCTCCTTAGGAATCAGATGCTATGTAAATGTGAAGCCCCATCATGATTATTATTTTCAACTTGCTGTGTTTATGACTTTGGGCCAGCCATTTAAGTTTGCTGGGTCTCAATTTTAAATTCTGTAAAATGGGAAAATGTTTTATAAAAACAAAGAGACCTTGTGAGGCTTCACTAATTAGTGTTTGCAGAGCACTCTGAGATCCCTAGATGAAAAGCCTTTGGAAGATCATTATCATAGTAAACATTGTTATTGACCGTTTATTGTGCCCTGCCATGTATGAAGCATTCTACCAAAATACAGACGGAGCTTTAGCCCTTGCAGGAGAATGTGATAGGTATTATTATTGAACTTGATTCTATGATGAGTCCAGGGCAGGATAATACTAAGTATAAAAGTCTCCCCTAAGAGGGGATAAATCACCTGTTGTGGCAAGGTACCATTTTGTAAAACACCTCTTCCAAAGGACTTGATGATAACGTGGCGCTAGACAAGAGTTCATTTAACATCCGTCCATGAGCTTCTTAAATCCAGAGACTGTTCTGCTCACCTGTTGTTGTTGTTATTGTGTGCCATCAAGTCGGTTCTGACACACAGTGACCCTGGATCGGGTTTCTGGGAGAGGCTGATGGATTTGAACTGTCGAGCTCTCAGTTACCAGCCCAGTGCTTACCCAACAGCACTGTAGCAGAACACATTCTGCGCATCTTATTGTTGTTGTTAAGTGCCATCGAGTCAATGCCAACTCATAGAAACCCCGTATAGGGTTTCAGAGGAGTGGCTGGTGAATTTGAACTGCTGACCTTGCAGTTAGTAGTCCAGTGCTTATACTACAGCGTCACACCAGGACTCCCACTCTGCTCACCTA